CCCACGAGAGATTCCATATGGATGGTACCCTAGTGTCTATGGAACAAATCCTCTAACGAATGGTGGTGCATGTGATCCTTAGACTTGAGATCACCAGAGTGCCTTGTGCACCGATTGGTATGGTTTGACACTAGCCTAACGCGTTCTATTCAGAGCTATCAGTACGGGTGATTGGCTAATCAAGGAGTGTATCAAGACTATGGTGGATTGACAAAGGATTCATCACTCCCGGATACAGAGAAGTTCTCACGGTGCAATTTAGTATATGGCAATGACACTAAAACTGTGCCACAGTGGGATTGAGTTGCTGCTCTATAACGATATAATACGGGTTATTGGTCCAAACTGAATAATAATTCGAGAGTAACCAAAGGTTGACACTATTTCTATGCCTTCGTCTCGTCGAGATAACTTATTGAAAGGACTATGTACGGTACCATATCGTTGACAGTAGTTACTTTGCTGAATCCGAATCTATCGGGTGGCCATATACCTTGCTAGGGGCCAATCTTGGTCTGTGTATAATGAGACGATTAATTGGTGTTAATTGCGATACTATACACTACCGGTATGATGAGGAGCTCTGGGTCACACACATAGAAGATAATTTAAGAGTCAAGAAGAAAGAAGGGCGTTTTCGTCTTTTTGGGTGAAAGGGTATTTTGATAATTTCACAGTGCAATTAAATTTGCTGAGGTCGTAGCCTTTATTTAATTTTTTAGAAAAATTAATAAGTGAAATTCGTTTAAATATTGTTCGCATATATTTAAATAAATTATCATTATTATTAATGTTAATATTATATTAATTGATTTTTAATTGAAATAATGATGAAATAAATAAAATATCTAATTTGGGAGTGTTTGGCAACATGGGGTGTTTGGGTTGGAGCCCAAGCCCATCCCATGTGGGAATAGGGTATTAAGGTTTTACTATAAAAGAAAAATGTTTATTTGTAAAACACAACTTTTAGCTCATTTATGATTGTAAAACCAAAACACAGCAGCCCCATTTTACTCTCACTCTCACGCCACTTTTGCTTTTACAAAGAACCAAAGTTCTTCTTTGGTTTGTTCTTCTTGATTTCTTAAGGCCAAGGAGGATCTAGCAAATCTCTCCTTGGTTCTTGTTGATTGTCTTTGTGTGGACCTCTACGGTTCGATCCTATACTTGGATCGGTAGTAAACACGTTCAAAGACAATATTGGTGGAGCCTCCAAACGTGGGTATGAATCTAAACTTTAGATTTATTTTATTTTATTTTCTGCAGATTCTTGATATTATATATAAACTGTAAAATTTGTGCCTTGATTTTGGGCTTTAAGGAACGATCTACGGTTGTATAAAATTTTGTTTTCCGCTGAGCAACCCGGTCGTTTCCTAACAGAGTCATCCACTGAGAGAGTCCACTTAGAAGGCGACTCACTGTTCATACATAATAACTCTCTTTCTGCTTGGACGGTGATGCTCGAGGTGAAATCAGCGATGAAGTCTACTAGTGCTTGGGACTTGACGGCAGTACGTGGCTGAAAAGATATGTCGAACTCACTAAGCTCTACCATCTATTACGTGAGTCGGCTTGATAGCTCTGGCTTGTGCAGTATCTTCTTGAGTAGAAAAGAGATGAGTACGACTATGGAGTGGCACTAAAAGTATGGCCTGAGCTTCCTGGATGTATGGATAAGGGCGAGGGCCAGTTTCTCTAGCTGATTGTATTGTGTTTCTACATCGAGGAGTGACTTGCTTACATAGTAAACCAGTAGCTGCTTCGTATCATCTTCCCAAACTAACACTACTGAGATTGTTGTCTCTGAAACCGCCAGATAGGTGTAAAGTTTCTCTCAATCCACAAGCTTGGAAAGGAGCGGAGGGGAGGTCATGTGTCTCTTCAATTGTTGTAAGGCTTCCTCGCAAGAAGGGGTTCACTCAAACTTTTTGGATTTCTTAAATGCGTGAAAGAAGAGGTGGCACTTGTCAGCGGATCTAGAGATGAAGCGGCTCAAGGCGACTACTCGTCCTACAAGGCACTGGACGTCTTCGATGCAAGTTGAAGATGGTATATTGAGGATCACTTTGATCTGGTCGGGGTTGGCTTCTATCCCTCGCTGAGTTACCATGTATCCTAAGAATTTACCTAACGAGACACCAAACAAGCATTTGGCTGGATTCAGTTTCATGTTATACTTCCTTAGGACGGTGAACGCCTGGTTGAGGTGGTCAAGGTACTGCTCGGCCATCAGGGACTTGACAAGCATGTCGTCGATATAAACCTCTATAGTGTCCCTGAGGTGTTCGACAAACATTCTGTTGACTAGCCGTTAATAGGTAGCCCCGGCATTCTTAAGATCGAATGGTATCACCTTATAGCAGTAGGTTCCCCTCTTTGTGCATGAAGCTTAGGAGTTCGTGGCCTGCGGTTGCATCGACCATCATGTCAATATGTGGGAGCGAGAATGAGTCCTTAGGGCATGCTTTGTTTAAGTTCGTGAAATCAATGCAAACCCTCCACTTTCTGTTCTTTTTTTTACGACCACGACGTTTGCCAGCCATTCAGGTAGTGGACCTCTCTGATCATACCATTACTCAGTAACTTTTCAATCTCTTCGTTGACGATTTGGTTGCACTTTGGTGCGAATTTCCTTCTCCTCTGCTTTACTAGTGGGTGATCCGAATCTACTTTGAGGTGGTGGATCATTGCCTCCGGGCTGATTCCTATCATGTCAGCGTGGGATTAGGAGAAATAGTCTTGGTTTTGTCTGAAGAATTCTATCAGTTGCTCTGTTGTCTCGAGCCTGAGGCGAGAACCTATATGGGTCTTTCTTTCGAGGTCTTCCAGGTGTATCTATACTTCATCCAACTCTTCCATAGATGGTTGATCTGGCTCGGTCGGAGGGGTTGATGAGACTGTAATTGCTATGAAGCATTATCTTTGCTTTTAAAGGCATTCTTGTAACAATCTTTGGAAGCCTTAGGATCGCCTTTGATTTCCCGTGCTCTCCATTTGGTAGGAAACATGATTGTTTGGTGGAAGGTGTTTGGAACAGCTTGCATGTCGTGGATCTAAGGTTGGCCCAAGATGACGTTGTATGGTGAAGGATAGTTGATCACTAGAAAAACGGTCATCTTGTTGACTCCGTTGGCGTAAATAGGAAGGATAATCTCTCCGATGGTGTATTTTTGCTCAAAACTGAACCCGACCAGTAGGGTCGATCGTCTGTTGATGTTTGTTTCTTCCAGGCCCATAGCCTTCACTGCTTCAAGGAAAAGAATGTTTGCTAAGGATCCCCCGTTTATGAATACTCTCTTGACCAAGATGTTGGCGATCTCGAGGGAGATGACTAGAGCATCGTGATGGGGGGCAGCCAGGGTGATCGGCTCGTCGTCTTCAAATTGAATTACCTGGTGGGAGTGTGATCGGGAAGACGGATGGATGGATTGGATTTCATGGTGGTTGTTGGCTTTGGCGTAACGTTTGGCTGATGAGTCACTGACCCCATTGATCTCTAACCCTTCGGAGATAATTGAGCGGAATCCTTTCTACGTAGGTTCCCGTGGAGGTAGAGATGTTTCTTTCATGCTTTTTTGGCTGATGGTGTTTTTCCCTTTATCTGTCAATAGATCTCGGAGATGTCCCCTCTTCAATAATGCGGCAACCTCCAACCGCAGGGTAATGTAGTCTGCGGTAGGGGTATACACGGACCAAGCAATTCGCGAACTGATTGGGATTGGCTCGTAGATGCTTGAATCCGTCGCACTATCTAATGAGTCGAGCACAGTCTCGAACTGCTCGGTTCTTATACAAACCGAATACCAAATATGGGAGTACTCGGCTCAGAGGCTCGTCGATCTCTGTGAAGCTCGTCGGTGAATGAGTTATTGAGCTCAAACCTGATCGCCATCTCACGCTCGCGTCTTCGACTAAATGGCGCTCTCCTAGAGGACCCAAAGTCCTAGACTCCCACAGTCCACTTATTCTCCCTCCAAAAACAAACACAAATACCTAAAATCCCTAAGATCTAAACATAATCCGGAGACTCGAGAGACACTTTTCCTCCCAAGTCCCAACCCCAACCCCAACCCCAACCTCCCAAGTCTATATTCTGTAACCTTAACCCAAACTCGACAACCCCAATCCCAGTCCCTAGAACCAGTCGAAAAGGGAAGACAGGTTCCTCTCTCAAGCTTCAACCCTCACATTAAAATGAATCAGTGATTTCCTACAAAGTAAGCCAAAAAGTTGATTCTCAAGTTGTTTCTCTCTGCCCATTACCGAAGACTCCTTTCTCAAAGACCCAACCCGAAGTCCTCGAGACCCCGACCTGAAAACTAGTCGAAGTACTTAGCTTCATTTCTGAAGTTTCAAGTCTGACTTCCCTTTCTCTCTCTCGATTCTGGAATGGTATCAACCTAAGGTTTGTTTTTGTAACTTTTTTAATATCAATCTCCAATCCTTGTTCAATGTATCTATAATTTTTCTTTATATCGTGTTGATTTTGTTGAAAGCTGACACTTAAAGATTTTGTTTTGTCATCACTAGAGATCAAACCCATCACTCGCCGAGACAGGTTGAGGCCGATTTGTGCTTGACGCCATGAAGTTGTGACTCTGACTCTGTGAATATCAATCCTTGCTTGATTTTAGCATGAAGCTGCGAACATCAGGTATTTCTTCTTGGCATAATAACTTGAGGTACTAGCAATGCTAGTATACTACTGATTTAGTGATTATTCATATTGAATTTCTGATTACTGATTACTGATTACTGAATAGTGAATGCTAATCAATCAGTTGGAGTGAAATATATAAAATTATGTTGATTTTGTTGTTGTGGGGAAGAATAATGTCTATGTTTATATCGGGCTGGGGCGCTGGGTTAATCAACAAGATAGTCCGGTCCCTTACCTTTTTCTTGTATGATAATGATGTGAAATTTTTATTCCAAGTTTATAAATTATATTACAATAATAACTAATCATGTGTTTTTCTTATTTGCGAATAGATATGGCATCGACTCCATCGAGTTCCACTCCACAAAGGTCACGACCGGCAACTGACAGTAGTGCAACAACTACAGCTACTGTTAATGAAGAAGATATAGAAGCAACTGATGTTAACCCTTTTGTAAGGAAAAAGAGAGCTAAGACATCTGTAGTGTGGAAGGATTTTACAGAAATTAATGTTTCTAGTGGACCGAAGGCTGAATGCATTCATTGCAAAAAGAGGCTTGCCATGACGAGCACCAGGAGCACTACTCACCTTTCAAGGAACTTGAAGACTTGTGTACGGCGAAAGCTCTTTGAGAAGCAACAACAAAGGTTTTTCGAAGCAACAAATCCATCTGATGCAGGTAATGTTATCCTGTTCTTACCGGAGGTAAATTTGACATGGCAAAAATGCGGGAATTAGTGGTCACTTGGGTGCTAATACATGAGCATCCTTTTACTGTCGTGGAGGAAGAAGGATTTAATAACATGTAGAGGTATGCGATCCCAGAGTGGGAAAAGATTTGTCGTAGGATGTGTAAAAATGATGTTGTTACTTTGTTTGAAAGGGAGAAGATAAAGCTGAAGAATTTGTTGAAGGATGTTGACAGAATAAGCTTAACGACCGATTTATGGAAGTCAAGTAATCAAAGGATTGAGTATATGGTATTGACGGGGCATTTCGTAGATGGTAATTGGAGGTTACAGAAATGGATTCTAAACTTCTTACACATAGCTCCTCCACGCACTAATTCCCAAATTGCAGATTTAATTTATAAGTGTCTGAACGAATGGGGTATAAAGAACAAGGTGTACACGATATCAGTGGATAATGTATCAAGTAATGATGCAACAATCCAGATTTTAAAGAGGAATTTGGCAATTGACAATAGGTTGCTTTGTAGAGAGAGATTATTCCATGTTAGGTGTTGCGCACACATCTTGAACCTTATTGTTCAAGATGGGCTGTCCAAAATAAGGTCCATTATTGATGATCTTCGTGATAGTGTGGCCTATGTGAAACATATAGAGAGCAGGCTTATTGTTTTTTCAGAAATAGTGCAAATTTTGCGTTTGCCCAATCAGAAGTTGATCCTAGACTGCAAGACAAGGTGGAATTTCACTTTTGAGATGTTGTCAATTGCAGTGACGTTTAAAAATATCTTTCAAAGGTATAAAGAGAAAGACCCACATTATAATTGTTGTCCTAGTGTAGAGGAATGGGTAAAGGTGGAGCAAGTTTGTGAAGTGTTGGGTGTGTTTAGTACCATTACTAATGTAATTTCTAGGAGTGAATACCCGACTGCAAATATGTATCTCAGTGAGATTTTTCGAGTTAAGGTTATGCTAGATTAAAATTCAATGGATGAAAATGATTTTATTCGGCATATGGTTATGAAAATGAAACAGAAATTTGACAAGTATTGGGGAGAATGCAACTTGTTGATGTGTGTACCTGCTATCCTAGATCCTAGGTGTAAAATGGTAGTGTTGGACTATTGTTTACCTAAAATGTATGGTGAGATTGATGCCCAAGTACATAAGAGAAAAGTTAAAGATGTGTTATATCAAATTTACCAAGAGTATGTTGATGATTATCAATCTCAATCCTCAAACATTGAACAACCAACTGCAATGGTTCCTCGGGGCAATGAACAAACAGAACCTAATGTGTCTAGATTTGCAATGTTTGCAGAACATATGAAAACGATTCAAAGTATTCCACCAGAGAAATCAGAGTTAGATAGTTATCTGGGAGAGGGTTGTTCCATGTTTGGGGAGGGGAATTGTATGAAATTTGAAGCATTGGATTGGTGGAAGGTTAATACAATGAAGTATCGAATCTTGAGTAGGGTGGCTTGTGATATACTAGCAATCCCTCTAACTATAGTGGCTTCAGAGGCCTCGTTTAGTGCTGGCATCAGAGTAATGGAAACGTATCGAGCCTCATTGTCTCCCAAACAGTACAAGTGCTCCTTTGTGAAGGTGATTAGTGTCGTCATCTCAATGGAGTTCATAGAAAGAACAAAGTAAGTGTAAATTGTAATAGGTGATTAGTATTTATGCATTTTCACTTACTAGATAGTAGTTACTTTCATTTTTGTAACTGAAACTAATATTTTCCCTTGACGTAATTTACAAAAAGCAAAAACAAGTGGAGATTTAGCTTCCAATCGAGTGAAGCTTACAAAGGTTGAATGCATTTTTTGGCCAGAATCCTTAAGTATCCATCAACCCTTGATCACTTATGTAGTTATGTTTCATAATAAAACAGTTTTTATTCTTTATTTACATGTCATTTACAACTGGCTTTTTGTCTTAATGTTCAAGATTTTTTTGCATATAAAGGTTGGTTTTTGTAAAGATCTGTTGGTTGTTTGAGAGGATGGAGAAGAGATATGTTTCATAATACAACGGTTGGTTTTTTTAAGTGTTGTTGTGAACCTAAGTTGTAATGATGTTATCGTGGTTCTTGTGAAGTGTTTATTTATGTTATGTTATTGTTGAACTTGTGATGTTGTTTGAGAGGATGGACTACGAAGAAAAGATGTGATTCTTGTGAAGTGTTTATTTATGTTATGTTATTGTTGAACTTGTGATGTTGTTTGAGAAGATGGACAATGGAGAAAAGATGTGATTCTTGTGAAGTCTTTATTTATGTTATTGTTGAACTTGTGATGTTGTTTGAGAGGATGGACTATGGAGAAAAAATGTGATTCTTGTGAAGTGTTTATTTATGTGATGTTATTGTTCAACTTGTGACTTTTGTGCAGTGTTTATTTATGTGATGTTATTGTTGAAATTGTGATTCTTGTGAAGTTTTTATTTATATGATGTCCATTGAGTTTTAAACTGGAGATTTTGTTGATTTTACCTTACATGTTTGTCCTGAAATTTAGATATTCTATAATTCTAATTAGGGGTGTTTATTGTTGCTGCATATTTTTTTATTTTGGAGTTCTAGACTTTGCTGGAAGGTCTTTTGCTCTTTGCTAGGCATAATATGTTTGTCCTCATTCCTAACATTTTGTAATTCTAAGTAGGGTATTTATTGTTGCTGCAGCATGCATGTTTTTTGAATTTGGAATTTTAGACTTTGCTGGAAGGTCTTTTGCTGGGTAGAATATGTTGGCCTAAAATTTTGATATTCTATAATTCTAATTAGGGGTATTTATTGCACCTACAGGTATTTGAATTAGGGGTGTTTATGGTTGCTGTAGGTTTTTTGAATATGGAGTTCTAGACTTTGCTGTAAGGTCTTTTGCTCTTTGCTGGATAGAATATGTTGGCATGAAATTTAGATATTCTATAATTTTAATGATGTATATTTTCTTGCTGCAGGTTCAAAGGGTAAAAGTCTGGTGAAAGGTAAAATGAGTAGGTGACCCGTGACTTGGTTGCTCAACTACTGTAAATTTGGTCTTGCTTTGCCAAATGCCAACAGGTTGTATCATGGCTGGTGTATATTTTGTTTTATGTTAGTTTGGACTTTGGAAGCAGTTGGCTTGGCCATTGTATTATGCATGTGAATGAGATAAATCCAAAGTCCCAAGTCCCAACCTTTAAATGTAATTATGTATTATGTAAAAATGTACTGGCTCCTTATAATTATGTATTATGTAAATATGCACTGGCTCCTTAATCTTGAAAATATTAATCAAGAAACTTCTACTCTGGATTCTGTAATCATGATTCTCAAGTTGGATTCGGTTGAAAATGTAATTTGATTGCATGTGTGGTTTCAATTTCAATTTGTTATACTGTAATATTAAAACTATTATTTCAAGCTTTTAATCGAGCTCCATTTCGAGCCTGGTAATGAACACATACTCGAGCTCCATTAACGAGCTTGGCTATAATCGAATTGAGTTCAACACATTCTCGAGCCAATCAAACTATTCGCGAGCACGAACTAATTGACGATCTCGATCTCAGATTTTCCCTGCTCGTCGAGCTCGAGCTCGAACTCAAGCCCATTGAACAGATTGCGAGCCGAGCACAAGTCGATCACTGTTCGGCTCGGCTCGGTTCGTATACACCCCTAGTCCGCAATGTTATGTTCATGGTCATCGTGGAACTCGCACCACTTAGTTGTGTCTCTCCTTGCTTTGGCATTGAGCTTGTCTGGCCACTTAACGCTAAATCCCATTCCTTTCATGATCGCCACGACCTAGGCTAGTTCGACATTGAGGTTGTACTCTGGTATTTTGTATCGGCTCGGTCTGACTGGTCTGTTGTCAATTCTAAGTGGTTGGCGGTCATATGGTTTCCTGACTTTGTTTAGGTTACGTAAAGGGGGTTGGTAACGAGGTTCAATCGATCTGAGCTCTGGCCTCCTATCATTCCGCCTTGGGTCATACTGGCGTGTATTGCCCGATTCATCTTATCATCTTCCCACCTTATTTGAATCACTGCGCTGGCCAAGACGTCCTCCATCATGGTGCAATCAAGCTTCGTTAGTTCTTTGTATAATTCACCATCCGGGAGGAGACCCTTCCTAAAGGCGTCTATAGTTGTCTCGGGTAGAGATTGGCGTTTGCCTCGGCCCCGCGGGGATCCGTCCTGACCCGACCCAAATGGGTCGGGGAATCCCCGAAAAAAAACGGGGATAGGGCCGGGGATGGTCCTTAGTTATGTCCCCACATCCGGGGACGGGCCGGGGAAGGGGATAGTGCAATCCCCGCCCCAGACCGCCCCGTATTTTTGAGAATTTTTTTTTTTTGTTTCCTTTACGAGATTGTATATAAAGTTAAAGTTTAAATCATAATTTTAAGTAATTTATCTAAATTTTTGATATATCCTTTTATAATATTTTCTAATGTTTGTATTAAATTTATAGAAAAATAATTTAAACAAGGGAGTTTAATAATTAAATATATGTATTATTACTTTGTGAATTTCACAAAATAATAATACATGGGACATGACCCAAAAATAAATTTAATTAGATTATTACAATTTACAAACCAATATAAGAATATATACAATTGCTTAAGGACTTACAAATTACATAAATTCAATTATCCTTGTAATTAATTAATTGATCAATTAAATATGATGTTAAACTTAATCAAATAATGGGATTTGTCCCTTTCACAAGTGGACTAATTTTATTAGTTGTAGTGGAGATAGTGTTTTATGAATTAATTCACCAATTTACTTAGCAAATTATGTTAAGATTGAATTTAGTTATATTAATTTCATGAAAAATTAATTAATTAACATGGCTAACTAAACCTAAGCCTCCATACAATTGAATAATTAAGCAATTTAGTTTTGATTTACACGAGGCAAAAATCCCCGCGGGGATAAATTCCCCGTGAAGCCCCGTTTATCTGGCCGGGCCGGGACAGGGTAACTGGGATGGGCCCGGGGCATGGGGTCCCTGGCCTCGACCCGGCCCGCACCCATCTCTAGTCTCGGGGTTACACGAAGGGATGGAAATTTTTTTTTTGTTGAATCTGCTGACGTACTCTCTCAGCGGCTCCCCCATTCTCTAGTATACTTTGTACAGGTCGGCCGATAGTTTCTCAAGTTTTTTGCTACTGGCGAATTGTTCCACGAAGGTGTCAATGAGCTGTGCGAATGAGTCGTGGAGCCGTTCGGGAGATTGGTGTACCACTAAAGAGTTGGATCAGATAAGCTTGAACCAAAACTCTTACACATGCAGGCTTCCTTTAGCGTTCGGGATATCGAGATAGTGAACATTGCCGTCATAGGGCTTCATGCCAGGGATAGTGAATTTGTGGGGCATGTCGGCTAGCGTGATCGCATCCATGAAGGGCGAATCGGCATAGCAGTGAGACTTGCTCTTTTTGGTGGGGATCGGCATTCCTGGTATGCGCCTCATCACTGCCTCCACGTCGGCCAGTCTCTTGGCCAATATCTGTTCCATGGGAGAGGGGGATACTACTAGGTCATCCCGCTTGACTTGGTCGGCCATAGGATTCGCACTCGGCGCATTTTATTGGGTCAATCCGCGTGGTGTAGCCTAGTGAATCCTTCATGTATCGCTTGGTAGCCTGAATCCCTATTCATTCCCTCCGGTTGGGTGACCCCCATTGTAACTGATCGGGTGTTTCGCCCTACATGAATGGTTAGGGGGGTTGTTTGGTACTCGCTCAATCCGTTGGGATGGATGGACTCGAGCAGGATGGTTTGATTTGGGTGACCGTTCGACCCGCGAGGGTGAACCAAGCCGATTGGAGTTTGTGTAGGGATGGTTGACTGAAGGTGAGGTGGGATGGCGAGGATGAGCGGTTCTTGTTGCAGCAGGCTTTCTATCACTTGGACGCCTTGACCTTGTCCCTGAGGCGAATCGACTGAGAGGGGTTCCATTGGTTGAGTCATTGGTC